TCCCATCCCATCCCATCCCATCCCATCCCATTCCATCCCATCCCATCCCATCCCATCCCATCCCATGGATCCCTCAGAAGATTTATGTGAACTTGCACAAAGGCTGCAATTCAGAGTTTACACATGTGATTTATGTGCTGCCTCTTCTCCTTTTTTCTGCCTTTCATTAAACAAAAACCAAACCAAAATAGACAAGCTGGTGTAATTTATGCACAGATTTCAGCCTTGGCCTGCTGTTAATTCCACACTGCTGCCTCCCGAGCCTTGGGGAGTGCTGTAGGTGTGACTGCAGCCAGTTTGCCTCCACCAACAGGAAAAGTTTGTTGGTTTGTGCCATTTYTTGGGCAATGGGTTTGGGGCAGACTGGTTGGAGCAGGCTGAGTGAGGATGGGCAGGTGTCTCTGGTGGGGCTTTGTAGAGATTTTAACAGCCTGGCCCCATTGGCTGTGTCTGAGCTCACATCAATGACAACAGAGAATGGGGTATTTGGGGTTTTTTCTCCTCCACCTCCCAGGAGTGATGGGGAATAGCCCGAGCGTGCCAGAGGAAGCTGAGGATGACAATACCTGCACAGTGAAGAGTTACAAGGTGAGCAATCCCACCCTCACCTCTCCTGGCTACTGCGATTTTCAACCCCCTGATGCCCTAAAAACTCTGATATTTGTGATTTCAGCCTCACTTCGAGTCTCCTGATGGTGTCCAAAATGGATCTGTTGTGTTTGTTCAGAACGCTCCCCTGGCAGTGAATGGTGAAGGTATGGATTGGGAAAAGGGGGTGGATGTGCCCTGAGGGAGGTTTGTGCTGGAGGAACAATAAATATGTTAAATATTAATGCAGGGGTTTGAATCAGGAGATGAACCCATGTTTCAGCTCTTCATGTGGTTCTACAGGAGTTGGAAAGTTTAAATACAACAAAGAGAAAAATAAGAAATTCTTTCTGAAGTTCTCAGAACTTGGAATTATTTCCAGTATTTCAAATTTCCAATTTTTTCCAATAATTCTGAGAATTTGGTTCTGCCTCTGGCCCCAGAAAGTGCAATCACAGAGGGAAGGGGTTTGTGTGAAGCATCATCAGGCAGGAGAGGCTTGGGGCTGGTCCCTGCCAGGTTTGTGACAAATTCTCTCTGCTCTGGGTAAATTTGTGTCCCCAGTGAGCCTTGGGGGAATTGTTGCTGCAAGGAGCCCAAATTTYGGCTCTTGGAAAGACCTCATGCAGCAGTGGCAGCAGTGCAGGGGGATTATGGACTCTTAGGGAAGTTTGGGGTTTGTGGGGGACACAAGGAAAAGCAGAGAGCATTTCATGTGTTGGACAGGACTGGGAGTAAATAAAAGCCATATGATTTGCACTGTCTGAAGACCTAGAAAATACAAGTACMTCTCACTCCTCACAGTTAAAATGAAGCATATGGGATTGTTTTGCTTAAATGGATTACCTAATTAATGTAAYTGCTAAATCAGTTTAAGTAGCAAGTTGAAAAATTAGACTGTTCTGTGTTGATATTACTTGTATTTTAACTTCATTCCTGTTGGAAAAGCAGTTAAAATCCTTAACTATTGAGATGCCCTTGAAATCTCCCCGGGTTGTGCAATGTAATCAAGCAACATCTAAAAATTTGGAGAAATATAAGTTAGAGACGTTGTTACTGTGGAAAGGAGTAGTTGGTAGTGTTTCTAAAATGAAATGCTGCAATAAATGGCATTTTTTGGCACAAAGTGAGGATTTTTTGGGGAGCCAGAGCTGTCCAAAGGGAAGGGAAGGCTGAGGGTTCAGTGAGCAGCGCTGGCCGTGTGTTTGTGCTCAATGAGTGCTGTGATGTGCCCCCATGTGCTGAGCATTAACGGGCAGGGCTGGAAAACATCCAGTGAAATCCATCCCTGCTGGTCCCGGGAAAAGGGATCCTGGGAGGAAATTCAGATCCTTGGAGGAGCCCCCTGTGCATCTGCTCCACATCTGGGCCAGCAGCTCGGGGCCGGCTCTGTGGGGTYGCTGYTSCCGGCAGCTGGGTGGGCTCAGAGAYCCTTTCCAGGCTTCTCTCCTGCTCCTCTYGATTTCCAGGGATGAGATGGGATGAGATGGGATGAGCTCCACCTTCTCCTCCTGGAATGCCATTTCCACAGTGCCCTTCTGCTGCTCCAGCTGGTGCTGCTTTGCAAGCTCAGAGCTCATCCCTGAGCTTGAGAGAGGCTGGCACAGGGTGCCCAGAGCAGCTGTGGGTGCCCCTGGATCCCTGGCAGTGTCCCAGGCCAGGCTGGATGGGGTTTGGAGCACCCTGAGACAGTGGGAGTATCCCTGCTATGGCAGGGGTGGCACTGGATGGGCTTTAAGGTCCCTTCCACCCCAAACCACTCCATGACTCTCAGTYCATGGCAGCTCCCACCTCCTGCCCATCAGGACAGTGTGGGCTGTGGGGCAGGGTTCCAGTGAGGATTCAGCCATGGAATTAAGGCTGTGGAACAGAGAATCCCCCGGCTGGGCACTGGGCACTGGGCACTGGGCTCTGTCCTCCCCCTGGATTCTCCCAGGGATGTGCCCAGGATCCCCTGGCACTGCCACAGGACACAGATGGATCCAAACCCTCAGCCCAGTTCCTGCTGCTGCTGGTGGTGTCATCCAGAATCCTTGGGTGGGGATTTTGCTGTGAAAAGCCAAGAGGTTGCTTTGAAAGCTGGGATCTAAAATGGTTCTGTTCTCCTGATCTTAGASAATTTCCCAAATGAAGCTGAGCGCTGAAGGTCTGTGCTGTGAGGGAGAYGTGTTTCAGTCAGGTTCTTTTTGGTGTCTGGGGTTTTCTTTCTCTTAAAGGAAAATGTGAAAGGCATAATATTGACTAGACTATTACAATTATAATTTGACATAATTTCAATTTTGCGTTGAAACTGACAATTTTCCCGTTCTAATTCAGCAAGTCTGTTTGAGCCTGTCAGTTTTTCGCAGTTATAATTAAATAGATGTAAATTCATCCTTGAAATGTGGTGATGACTGACAGGGAAATTAGATCCATATTCCASTCCAAGTAGGGAAGAGCAGCTGAAGCTCAGGGGGAGCTGTAAGATTTACCTCTCCACAAGGTTTTTTTTATTGGGGTTTCACACCACATCATCTGGGATTCTGCCTCCCAGCCACAAAACAGATCCAAGCAAGACGATTTTTCTTTTGTCTCCTGTAAAGCAGGAGCTGCCTTTTCCTGTCTGTAAATCCCATACTAGGGATTTTCACCTCAGCCATGTTATCAAAGTGCCATTGTTTTATAAAATCATAAAATACACTTTTAAATTGATACTTTTTTTTACATCTAAGGTGTGATGGCCACGTGCCCAAGCATGGGATGATTTGTGGGAGTTTGAGGGGGGAGATGAGATTCTGAGCCATCGTTTGTGGGTAAAGTGAGCCAGAGATGTGAGGATAAGAAACCTGGCTTGGATGTGATTTATAAATGTTCAAATCGAGCTTAAAATAACCCGCAGGCAATGGGGAAGTGCAGGTGGGAGCTGCAGTGTGGAGAGCAGGCAGCAAGGCAAGGAAAAATGACTGAAATCGGTTCCGACTGCAAAGCCCTGCCGGGAGTTTGGCGAGCCTGGAAATGGGATCAATCCTTGCAGTTTCCATTCTTTTTGTTTCTTTWGCCTCGACAGAGTATAATTGATGTATAACCTTCTCGAGTTTTAGTGAGTGCTTTTCTTTTGATATCACTAAGTTTTATTTGATGCCCACAGGGCTAAGTAATTTTAATTTGATGCCAAAGGGGGCTGGTGGCCGGCTCTGGCAGCCCAGGGGGTGTTCGGAGGGTATAATGGCACTGATTTTGGAGAGGATGGCAGGAAAGCCAAGAGCATCATCCCAGGGTCCCAATGTCCTGTGGGTGCTCCAAGGAGGAGTCTTGAGGCTCACCTGAAACAGAGACCAGACAAAGTTGAGACAATAAAAGCAGACAAATTTAATCCAGGCCTGCTGGTACACTAGGGCAGACAAAGCCAGCTCCTGAGGCTACACCCCAAATGGAAACTGAGTCACAAGATTTTCACCTTTTGTAAGTTCTGTCTTATGAATATATTGTGCCCCAATTCTTCAATTCCACCTTCAGGTGATGATGCCAACCACCCCAAGCTTGCTCCCCTCAATTCTCCATTGTTTCCATATTTTGGGGCTCTGAGGCAGCGAAGTGTCCTTGGATTTTAGGCCCAGGGAGGAATCATTTTGTCTAAAGATGGGATAACAGCAGCTTTAGCTCTGTACCCTGGAGAAGTACAATATACAAATATAGAAGCAAAAAAATCCTACACAGCGCGGGGCGGCGGGGGCGGCTGTTGTGAGGGATAACCCCCGTTCATCCATCCATCCCTGTGTTCGCAGCGGCTGCCAAGGCGGGTGCGGGCCGGGATAATGCKGCCGATTCTTGGGCGGACACAAAGGAGCCGATCCCCGGCGGGCAGAGCCCCGGGAGCGCTGCCAGAGCCCGCGCCGTGCTCGCCTTCCCCCGGGCTGCACCGGGGCGTTGTGAGGAGCCGGGCCCGGCCCTGCCAGCCCCCTCAGCCGGGCCAGCGTCCCCACACGGAGCCCTGCAGAGCCTGGGGGACGGGGAGCTGCCGGGAACAGCSCAGGGACAGCATGAGGCCAGCTCCAAGCCCAGAGAAGTGACCCTGCTCGACAGGATCTTCAGGCTGGACAAGGGCGCGGAGAGGATCCAGCCAGAGGGTGACCCTCAGCAGCCTCAGCCCTCAGACCTTCCCAACGGGAGCATCGCGGCCGCTCCGCACCGCCAGGCAAGTGCTCCGGGGAATAGACACCCATTTCATTTGCACCCATTTCAATTTCACCCATTTCATTTGCACCCATTTCAATTTCACCCATTTCATTTGCACCCGTTTCATTTGCACCCATTTCATTTTCACCCATTTCATTTTCACCCTTTTCATTTTCATCCATTTCATTTTCACCCATTTCATTTTCACCCATTTCATTTTCATCCATGGAACCTCCTGGGGATGTTGGCAAAGCGGGATAATCCCAGTGGTGTGGGGGTGGCTGGGGGATGAATCGATGTTGCGTTAAAATGACCACAGGTAACGCCCTGGGATGGCTGGACAGGGGTCGGGAGAGGAGCCCAGGGATGGAGCTGTGTCCCATCTTTAAATCCTGGCTCTGACCTCGGCTTTAATTCTGGCACTGACCTCGGCTTTAATCCTGGTACTGACCTCGGATTTAATCCTGGCTCTGACCTCGGCTTTAATCCTGGCTCTGACCTCGGCTTTAATCCTGGCACTGACCTCGGCTTTAATCCTGGCACTGACCTCAGCCTTAATCCTGGCACTGACCTCGGCTTTAATTCTGGCACTAACCTCGGATTTAATCCTGGCACTGACCTCGGCTTTAATCCTGGCACTGACCTCGGCTTTAATCCTGGTATTGACCTCGGCTTTAATCCTGGCTCTGACCTCAGCTTTAATCCTGGCACTGACCTCGGATTTAATCCCGGTACTGACCTCGAATTGAATTTAATTTATAATTCCCCAAAAGGTTCGGGCAAGACATGGCCAATCGCCAGGAGGAGCAGCTGCCAGCTGCAAATGAAGCCAAAGTACCTGAAACTAAAATGATTTCTGTGCTTTTAGGAGCTTGGAGCTTGACAGTGAATGGTTTTCTAAAAGTTCTTTGGTGTGTGTTTTGTGCTATTTTTGAAGTAGTCCCACTTCTTAAGCAACAGCTGCTTGTTGCGTATCATGCTTATCAAAATAAGGAATATCATGCAGCAGCAATTTTTGTACTCCAGCTTGCTGTGATGTTTTAGTCGAGGAAATGGGGTTCATTAGGAATGATTTTACAGGATGAGAATGTGATAAAAGAAACTATGGATCTTAACTGAAAGAGCACACTGGTCAAAGGAGCTGAAAATTAATATGAGTTTAGATTCTGCATTACAAAGTCTGATTTGGAAAAGGTTCAATGCAATTAATTTCCAGGTAATTAACTACTGAAAAGGTCCATCTCTGGATGGGAATAAATGGTGCAAATCTCAGTATAGCTGGAGAGGTGGAACACCAGAATTGKTGATTGAGCTCAAGCCCTGTCCAGTGTCAGGAACAGGAGGGGAAAACCTGGATGTAAATGTCATTTAATAACAACTGCTTTTATTGGCCAATTCAGGCTTACTGATAAGATTGTGATCACTGATGCTTTGAGTAGTGTTSAGCTTAACTCGTGAGATACTCACTGCTTACACTGGCAAAATTGCAGGTTGTCCCCAAAAGTCTTTGATATTTGATCTACCTTGTCTTCTTTATCTTAGACCTTCACAAATTTGAGAATCGTGTTTCTTGTATAAATTTACACAATTAGGTATTTTTGTCAGGGTTCATTTTTAAGAGAAAACAGTTGCATTTTCCACCCCTGCCCTTCAGGAGCGCCCCCATCGCTGCTGTTTCAGACAGTTATGGATGCACATTTAAAGAATCCATAAGGGCATTCACCACCTAAGCMGAACAGGGGGGATAATTGGGAATGAATCCTCTGTTCAGGGCACACTGGCACTTCTGTGTGCAGCCTGTTAGAATGGAGCTTTTCAACCCCTCAAATTCCTGTGGATGTTTCTGACTATCACACACAAGYTTTCCCTGTGGCTTGCAGGAATTGTTAGTTTTCCTCCCCAAATGCCAAATTCCTATTTTGCTGTCTCTGCAGTGACACTACTTCCACTTCACAGGGTGTGGAAGGTCGTGGTTGGTGCTGCTGAAGTAATGGTGTGAAAGTTTAAATGAAGAATAATTTTGAGTTGTTTTTTACTAAAATTTGATGTTAAACATTGCTGGGAGCAAACAGTCCCATTGAAAGTTCAGGTGAGGCAGTGCTGTATGAGCAGGATCAGGGACAGAAGATTATTTAAATAATTCTCCCAGTTCAAACAGCTCCTAGAGGCACAAATCTTACATCACAAAGGAGGCACAAAGGTTACATTATTAATTGTTGGATTTCTTATTAATCTTACTGATTTGGGGTTCTGCTCCTGTCCCCTTGTACCTATCCACATTCTGGAGCTCACTGATGGCAATAACCTGGAGATCCCAGGCACTGCTCAGCTGTGGGTGCTGTTGGGTCTGTCTGGGAGTATTTGCAGGATCCCAGCAGATTTTGGCACCAGGAACCTGCCTGAGGACAGGTCTGGTTACCAAAAGTGCCCTTGCATCTCTTGGGTGTGAGCTTGGAGCTGCACTATAGTAATATGTGAGGACTCACAAAATCGGGGTTCAAATTCCTCTGAGTAAATAAATGTCACAGGGCAGTGGGATTTTAACCTTACCCTTGAATTTCTGGGCTGTCATTTTGTCTGTGGTTCCTCAGACATGAGAAGGGGTACGTGGTGGGGGCAGAGAGGATTAAGCACCTTTTCTGGGGAAAATACATCAGCTAAACGCTCCAATGTGCTGCCAAATTTAACTCAATTCCTAAACCTAAAGGCTGGGGCTCTGCCTTGCAGCACAGTCACCTTCTGTTCCCCCTGAAGTTCAATTCTCCTGGAGGATGGGAGAATCACCAAGCTTAATTTAATTACTGTTACTGTAATAACTACAAACTGTTACCAAATAATCATACGAAAAATCAAGATATTGCTGCCAACAGCTCYCTTTTCTCTCTYTTTTCTTTTCTTTTTGTGGATTATGACTCGTAGTATCTGTAAATGCTAAAAGCAAAGTTTCCCTGCACTGAGTGCCAAGACAAAACAAACAGCATTGCTGGTGAGTAAGAGAGAGGCTCCACAGTTGTAGCTTAAGAGCTGCACAAACATTCTGTGTTTGGTGAACCACTCTTTATTTTTGTGGTCTACAAAACTACATTCAGAACGCAGCATAATTAAAACAAGGGCAGAATTCATGAATTCATGAAGCATTTACTATGTGAGCCAAAGAAAAGATAAATTATATGCCTGAAATGTTGCACTGAGCCATGATTCATGCAAACAAAAGTGCTGGCAGGAATACATTCTTTTGATATGTTTGGGGTTTTTTTTTCCTGATGACTGAACTGAAACTATAGTATATTTAAGGTGTTTATTACCCCCAAATTTAGCCTTTCAAAGGCATGAATTGAACATTTACATGGTATCAATTAACTTGTAATACTGACCTTTATTATTTCTGGGCTTCTTTCACAATTTGCCCCCAGGGCTGTGAGCAGGGAGCTGCCACAGAGGCTTTTGTGGTGATTTTGTGGCTGTGACAACGTGATGTGTGCATGATCTGTGGCTGATTCCTGTGCTGCTGGCTGAGCCTGTGCTCCTCCTGCAGCAGCATTTTCCTGGGAGCACAGGATGGAGCACAGCACCCACCCAGGGCCCAGTGTCAGGGTGTAGCAAAGGGCARCCTGGGCTTGGGAATCACAGAGAAGGGTCCTGGTGACGTTGGAGTTCAGGGATTTTGGATTTTGGGATGGCCCCAAGCCTCAGGATCTGCAATGGCTTTTGTTAGGGAGGTGCTCTGTAGGAGCCAGTGCTGCCAGAGTTGTGGAAACAGCTGTGTGCAGCAAAGATTCCTCTTCCCAAAATGCATCCTGATTCCAGGCCTGGGGCTTGTCTATAATTTTAAAAATACATATTAAATCTGTTTATTTTTCTAGAAGCGTTTTATTTTCTAGATAGCGTTTCTTGATAGATCACTAAAGAGTTTGATAACGCCAAACACTTTGGGTTGTGAAGCTGGTTTTGTTTAGCAGCACATCTGCCTCCTCCTTCTCRTGCCTCTGTTGTCCCTTTAACTTCTGGGACAGAGCCAGCATTTTTSGTAGGAGCAGAGCTGTGTGGATGCCACCCCTGGGCCACGCGTGTCGTGCATGGGACAGATTGTTCTGGGGCCACTGCTGTCCTGGCAGCTGCACAAAGTTCTGTGTTGGGCCCTCTCAATGGCCGGGTGAGCGTTCCAGCAGGGCTCTGCTGCTCCCTGGGCCAGCCTGGACAACTTGGTGGGTGGAGAATGACACAAAAACCTGCTCTGGTATTTCAGTGTGTGCWTGAACTCTGTATGTTCTGTTGACACTGCCCACTCCATGCCCGGCTTTTTGATCCCTCTGAAGTTTTAAAGCATTTAAAGCCAAATTCCTTCTGCTGGTGACCCAGAGAAATTTGTCATACAAGTGTTGTGGTGGTTTTAATCACCCAGCACAGGGAAAGGTTCTTGATAGCACTTTTATTTTAACTTTTCCCACTAAAAAAGGCACTGAACTATAGTGGACTGGTTAGGAAAAAACCCTTTGATGTCACTTGGACGCTCTTTGATGTCACTCTCCTGCACAGCACTTGTGTTGAGTTTACCTGTGCAGGCTCAAGGCAAAGGTGGCCAGGCTGGCAGGTAAATTCAGTGTGAAAGGTGCCAATCTCTGCAAAACTGATTCAAGAATTGTTTTATTAAACCCAGACCCTTGTTCAGGTATCAGAACAGAAAACAAGTRCCTTAATATTAATTGTTTGTCAGTGCTTGAGCACTGGAAAACTCTTTGGGCTCTGGGAACTCTAATTCTGTGAAGAGAGGAGGCAGATCCATGTGGCTAAGGGGATTTGCTTTAAATTGTTGCCTTTTTCCCTCTTTGAATGTGTGTCATGTTTGCATTTGATACATAACAATTATTCCTGGCATGGCAGAATTCAGTCTCAAACAATCTCTGTGTGGTAAATTCAGACCCTGAGCTGTCAAATGCCAAAATCTCAGCGTTTGCTCCCATTTTTCCCGAGTTCAGCCCTGAAAAGAGAAAAGTGGTGTTTGGAACTGGCCTGGTGTTTGTTGTAGCTGAGAACAATGTTCCCCCAAGCAGCAGCGAGGGCTGGATCTCTGAGGGAAGAGGGGCAGGAGATGCATMAATGCTGGATTGTTCTGAGCCCGTGGGCTGCAGAAGAATGGCTGGAATTAGAGCTGTGACTCGCTCCGAGTCACAAAGTCACTTTTGCATTCCACTGGGAATCGGGCAAGCTGGGACTGAGGAATCTCTGCCCCTTTTTGTTTTTAGGAGATAGATGAGTGCAGCCAGAAGGACCTTGGGCAGGACTCTGCAGGTGTCCAGGGAGAGCAGGACAGTCCCCAGGCAGCTGCAGGACACGGCTCAGTCATGAGCTTCCTCAAAACACTGGTAAGTTCTGCCTTCCTTTCCATCTCTTGATGGTTCATTTGCTTCTCAAACTCCCCTGTGAACACCTGAACAAATGTAAAATCTCTTTCCAGGGCACTGGGAGGGGTGAGGTCAGAGGTGTGTGGGGTTGGTGAATTGATAAACGTCACCTACTCTGCAAACTTCCACAGATCCTCGTACACCTGTAGCTATTGAGCTGTCTCTGCATGGTATTCATTTTGTACCTCCTCTAAAAGTTTCTTTTTATTAACTAATTATAGTATATTTACGTATTGTATAGTAAATATTCCATCCAGGCATTTTTCATTTTCGCCATTAAGTTCTTCTCAAGAAATACATGCATTATAAGTTTTCCCACTTGGGGGAAGCAGTATTTGTACTTTAATGGAAGAAAAACCTGCTGATTTCAATTTCAAACTTATCCTTTCGATGTTTTGAAAGGCTGGGTTGAGTGACTGCTTTTTCTCAAATTCTTTTAAGGTSTCCCCAAGCAAAGCTGAAGCCAAAAGTGATTCTGAGGACAAGGTAGGCAATTCCTTGTTCAGTCACTGGTCATTCGATGTTTTTCACACGGGGGTTTTCTCTTCATTGTGGKTTTTTTTCCCCAGTTGATATTGTCGTTTGAAGCAACTTAAAATGTTTTTCCCCTGGATAAATTTGAAAGGAAGATGAGACTGAACAGTGCAATTCTTTGTAGCATCAAAATCTGAACTGTTGAGTTTTTTGCAAGCTTGGTGATGAAAAGTCAGCTTGCTCTGACTTTTCATCACCTAAAACTTCAGATCCCTGCAGTGAAAACTAYTGGAGTCCACAAAAAAATTCTATTTGCTCATGGAACAGTTTCCCTTGTGCTGTGGAAAAATCTTAATTAAGAAACCAAGAATAAACCCCTAAAAGTGGAAGTGTTTTTTCCATGCAGATATTAGCCAAAATCACAACACTTTTGGTTTTCTATTTTTTTTATATTCTGTGGTCAATCTTTGCAGCAAGTTTGGTGAGGACACGGAGTATTTTAGCTCGATAACTGAAACAACTCTGAAAATCCTCAAATAGGGTAAAAGTCTTTCAAAAAAATGCAGTTGTTAAATTGCCCGGGCTCAGTGAGCATTGCAGCTCTTCCTGCAGCTGGTGAATGATCTGGTTTGGATGGAAACAATGGGGTTTGGATGGAAACAATGGGGTTTGGATGGAAATAATKGGGTTTGGATGGAAAAARAACCATTTCCATCRCTGWCTCTGTCACCTGCCCCWGTGCCAGGTGACTGCTGCTGCTGCTGCAGTTCTGTAATTTGGGCACAGATATTCTGGCTGGGTTGGGTTTGCTGTCACACCTGGCAGGGTAAACAAATCCAGGTGACTTGCAGGATCTGCAAACTGCTTGGACGGAGATTAAATGGGAGTTCTCATTTACTTGGACTTCCTTTATCTCCACAATCTTCCTGATATGGCATTTGTATTTTATTAAAGGGGAAATGTTAATTTATCAGCTTCCAGGTAGAAAAGCTGCAGAATTTTTGGCTAATAGTAAATAATGGTGAATTATAGTAATTTATGTAAATAATGGTAATTTTTTTTTTCCTCAAAAACCCCAACTTGTGTGTTAAATGTAAAGCTTTGAGTGAGGTTTTCCCTCGGTGCAGTCGAGTGCTGTGGGGCTGTTGAGTGGCTKCTGTGCCTTCAAATCACAGGATCATGGAATATCCTGAGCTGGAAGGGATATTCCTACAAAYAGAGAGTTCCTACAAACCAAGGTCTGCCCTAAATCACTGACCTGACCCTGAGCCATTCCTGTGTCACTCTGCATTTGGGAATTAGGAGAATTTTGCAGGGAAAAGGGTCAATTTTGCTGTGACAAGTAGTGCATCCTCCTTCCTTCCATCCTACATCCTCCTTTTTGCCAGGTAGTCCAAGGCATTTTAGTGCTTTAAATCCTGAAACCCTGAACAATGAATTAATTTCATGGATATTCATGCAAACTTGAAATATTTTCAGTAGTGTACATCATGAATATTCACACTGCCCTTTTCCTAAAGAATGTGTTATGTAAAACATTTTCAAGTCCCTATTATACTGCAAAAAAAGACTGAAGGTTTACCAAAGATTTTTGTATTTGCCTCTTTTAAAATTACAAATCCTAAACTGCTAATTCATGAATTGAAAATACAGAAGTTTGTGGGATTTAGGTTTCAATGTAATGGAGATTTTAGAGGGAAAGTTGTGGTTTAATTTGGAACCAGGTGGAATGCCTTGGCTTTTTATTTCAGTGAAAGAAACTCTGAGGAGAGCTGAGTAATCACTTAGGGAAAAAAAAACAAACAAACCATTATTTGTCCAGGGCTAAGAGGGAATGTTTGCCTTTACCCCACGTGTGTGAGTGATGGAATAATGTCTTTGCTGAAGCAAATTCCTGTGCAATGAGTGCTCACCTCCACCTGCTGTCGTGCAGAAGGGCTCCAGAGTGGACAARGCCCATGGGGGGCAGCCTGCCCCGAAGGCAGCGGCAGAATCCCCCTCCAAAGGAGCCAAAAAGAAGAAAGCAGAGAGCCCCAAGCTGGGCCACGGCACATTTAGCAAACTCTTTAGGCACAAGGTCGGTATGGAGCTCTGGGAGGAGCAGAAGGAACCCTGAGAAATCCCAGATGGCTCCTGGCAGTGAGAGGAGCAGCATCTGGCCAGATGTGCAGAGCTCTGGGAATCCCTGGGCGAGCATTTCTGTGCCAGAAATGAAAACCACCCTCACCTGCAGAATTCCTTAGGCCATCTGTGAGCTCAGGGTTCTGGAGCAGCTCCTGGAACAATTCCTGCCCGTTACTAATACAGACTAAACCCTCCCAGGCACTAAAAACCAAAATCAAACCCGAGGTGCTGACAAACAATGGATTTTTGGAGGTGAGCAGAGCCTGCAGCTGTCAGAGAGGTTTGAGCTCAGCCCAGCTTTGTGGTCATTAATGAATCATCCCTTCGCTAAAATTGGCATTTTGGGGTATCTGATATGGCACAGAGGAGCTTGGAACATGGAATTAGCTGCAGAAATAGGGATTTCTCATGGAACACAAGAAAAGCAATTGTTTGTGGTTTTAGTTTAGTGTGGAGGAGGGAAAATCAGGTTTTGATGGGTATTTTAAAGTGCTTAAAATGCTTATATATTAAAAACCMAAACTCAGTGAAAACTTTCGGCCTCAAGCTCTATATTTGGGGTTTTCTGTGCTCTTTGATGATAATCCGTGGCAGGGAAGCAGAGAACTGCAGCTTTTTAGCCCAGAGAATGCAGGAGCAGAGACCCTTTAGTGGGGGAGGAACATAATTAATATTTAATGCTCCCTCCTTGGAAAGGGAGCATTCCACCCACRTGGAATTTCTGGTGAGTAGGGGGCTTTATAGTCAAGGGCACAAGYCATTCTCTAATACATTTTAAACACAAAAATGTTCTTYC